AAACTCTACAAAATGTGATGTGTCCATATTGAAGGTGGCCAGAAGAGAAAAAATAAGAACTTTGTAAAGATATCATCTGGAAACTCTACAAAATGGGATGTGCCCATATTGAAGGTGGCCAGAAGAGGAAAAAGCAGCTTTGTAAAGATATCATCTGGAAACTCTACAAAATGGGATGTGCCCATATTGAAGGTGGCCAGAAGAGGAAAAAGCAGAACTTTGTAAAGATATCATCTGGAAACTCTACAAAATGTGATGTGCCCATATTGCCAGAAGAGCAAGAAGCAGAACTTTGTATCTCTTTCGATACTCAAAGCGATAAAAGAGCAATGGGAAAAGAAGAGGAAGTTGAATAGTTCATAGTTCATGTTAGAGACCATCTTCATCTCACATCAGACATAACAATGAGCACTCTGATGTGGTGGCTCCCACGTGGTTTTAGGAAGTTTAATATTGCCCAGAACCTCTGCTCACCCCCGATAAATCAGATCTATTGAGGAATAGATATTCTTTAGAAAGGTTGCATCTGTAGGCATAAAATAACACTAGTGGGCACAATGAGTTACACTAACAATTGGGACAGAATGGGTTAATGCAGCATTAGATGAAGCTCCAAGAAAGGGTACAAACATATTATCTTAGCAATCATCAACAAAATCGTTGTATGCTGCTTAATACAGAAAGAATTAAAGACATCATAAAAGTTTCCAACCTTGTGAAGTAGTAATGATTAGCTGTGACTGTTATTTCATTTATTTCTCAGGTGTAGATTCCAATTTTGTTAATTTAATTACAGTTATAATGAAACCACATTAAATTCTATTTCCAAAGTACCAAAAAGTGAGTTCGTATTAAAAAAAAAACCATGCTAACTGGGGACTGATAATAATAATAACTCCAGCTATAAGGGAGTGATCTTTTGATATCTTTGAATCAGAGATAGTTATTACTTTTTCTTTTCTTCAAGGAGTTCTTGAAAACTTTAAAGAAATAAGTTAAAATCAAAACTCTAAGAAGCATAAACAGTTAAACTTTTAGTCTGTATAGAGTGATTTTGTGAAATCACCTTGTGTAACAGTACAAAGTGAAATTGATATGTTGCTTTTATAGTAATAAAGAAAACATATGGTGACTTGTTTGGTATCGAAAGAGTTAAGCGAGTTTGTGTTGATGAGATTTTACTGTAAACATATTTTCCGTAGATTTATTTGTTAAGGAAAAGTGATGAAGAAGGAAATCAGCCACCCACCACCTGCATGTCATGGCCTAGACTATGTTAATATCTAATCTTTTTCCCACTTCTAGTAGAAGTTATTGCTAAAGAACTATACACCTTTATTGAAGTACAAGGTGTTTTGTTGAACCCATATCATATGATGCATCTCTGGTGTTAAGACTATTGGCCACCATAAAGCAAAGCTATTCAGCTAAGTTTATTCAGGGGCCAACATTTTTTTTAAAAATGTGGATCATCATGGGCCAGAGGATAGAGCCCCAGCATAGAAAAAACATTCTTCTTCTTTTGCCTTTCTAACCCTTAATGGAGCACAGGCCCTCAACCAACGCATGCTAAGACATTTTATCTTTCCCTATCACAGGCAGCTCTCCCCATGTCCTCCCCATCTTTTTAACTTCACTCTCTAGCTCCCTTCTCCATATGTTTTTTGTTCATCTTTTATTTCTGTGCCCCTGTGGGTTCCAGTGCAAAAACATTCCCGTTGTATATTTCTCAGGGTTTCTCAATGTGTGTCCTATTCGATGCCAGCATCTTTTCATTACCTCATCAATACAATATACAGTCAGCAATAATCCGCAGACTATTTATTATTCTTCTACAGGTCGGATTCCATCAGGAGGCTGACCGTAAAACAGCTTTGCCTTAAAGTAAAATGAAGGACCTTCCATACCAGTAGCATATCGAGCATATGGTGCTAAAAAGGGCTTTTTTTCCTAGGAAAAGGGTGCCGGTTCTCAGTGTCTGTGCCCATCAAAAATATTTAGCACTAACACTGAAAAAAAAGATGCCTAAGATGCCAGGGCTGCATACCCCACTGCCTACTGCAGGAACAATCATCAAGACGCTGATACATATTTTATTGACGACTTGAAACTCAGGGGATAATGTGGTCAACATCACATCAGCCATCTTTACTTCCCAGAACATTGCCTGGTTCCCATTTTAAGCAAAGTTTACCCGGGAGCAAAGTTCAGTCCCAAAAAAAATCCATCTCAAATTGGATGTGGCAAGCAAGCATCTAGCCACTACACTAATGCAGCTCCTGTGGACACCATATTAAATTAATAATTAAACGTTTAATACTACATGACAATAAAATGAAATCATTTGCGCTCTTGTAAAATTAAATGTTTTCCCAATAAAACAAATTTATCAGGATCTCAGTGGCACTAATGAACATTTTCCCTTCTGTTGACATTGGAGCCTGTTGAGTTAATGCAGAATTATCAAAAGTATTTAATGAACTCAGAATTATCGATTTGCTGGATGCTATAATCTTCAGAACAAAACAGAACATCAGTTATATTTAGTTTTAAGATTGATTTATTGCACAGTTATTTTTAGTCTCTCAGTGGCTTTCATTTGTTGTTTTGTTTTTTAAAAATATAGTAATTTTAATATTACTGACATTCTTTAGTATCTGAATATTGAGAAAAGCTGTCTTATAGACAGTGTTGTGTTTTATGTGGTTGTGTATTGTTGTTTATGTCCTCAGTCTGTTTGCTCTTTTGGCATAATCTTGCTGTCACATCAGATCATCTTAGTTGTAATAAATGTGTTAGTTGTGAGATGACCAAACAATTTAATTTTATGCTTCAGGGAACAGGAAAGTTAAATACATTCGAAAACAAACGCCCGAGGAAAGGGTACAACATAAAATGGAATGAATTCAAGAGGTATGAAGAAAGAGAAATGTCTGGACAACCACTTATAACAAGTTTTAAGAAAAAGAAGATGGCACTATTTTGGACACATCCTGAGAATAAATGAGCACAAAAAAATGAACAAGCAAATGAACAAACTTTATTTTCAAAGGGTTAAGAGCTGAGCCCACAGACCTGTCTAACGACCTGCCCTTCCAGTCTATTCCTTGCATACAGCTTTTCATTGATACGTTATTTTAAGGTTATTAATAGACATTTTCCACTCTAAGTCCTAAAAACAAACACTGTAACATGCTCTGGTAATCTGGTAATCTGGTAATCTGGTAATCCTAGTTTCAGCTTCATAGCAAACGGGTCACCCCACACATGCTCCGCTCCTGTGCCAACGAAAAACAAACGCAGCTCACAGTGTCACGCCATGCACTCAGCTCAGAAGCTGGGCGACGAAACTACATCCTTCCAGTCTACAAATGGAGCAAAAATGCAATGGCCACCGTCTGGAAAAATATTTGCCACGGCTTAAAAAAAAAAAAAAAAAAAAGGTGGCCGTACCTAGCGTCCATTTTGACCGGAAGAATTATATGAGGGTTAATAAACGGTCACCCCAGCAGTACCCTCATTATTAGCTGGGGAAGGGACTTAGGACATTACATCCACCAGCAGGCGTCGCCCCTACAACGACCTGCCTGCCCTCGTTAACGACTGTTCACCCAACAGCCATGCAGTTCTTTGGCACGAAGGAGACACCTTGAACTTGGGTTTCGTACTGCCGACTCCCTACTAAGATGTTATTTTATGTTCTGTTATCACAATTAATGTCACTGCACATTGGGCATACCCATGCGTGCTCAGTTCTCCGAAGCAGCAGCCACTCTAAAGTACTTCTACTAATTGTCCCCATGAGAAGCTGGTTATATTGTCTCCTTTCTCGGCCTCGAAGACGGCAAAGACGTGCATCACCATGCTTAACTCCCATGTCACGCAATCGTGTTAGTGTCAGGGATTCCTCATTCTCCACTAGCCCGGTTCGTACAGCGTTGGCTATGTCTGCTCTGTCCATACTTTTTCCTGCAATCATTAGTGCAGTGCTTGCCAGTTGGTCTGCTCGCTCATTTCCCTTCACGCTCGCATGACCCGGTGTGTAGATCCAGGTTACGGAGGTTAAGTGCGATTTCCTAAATGCTCTAGTTATACTTAACATTATTGAACTTTAGCACATTCTAAAAAGGGAAATAACAAGTTTCAGAATGTGAGGACATCCAAAAGAAACCCTAAATTAGCTGTTGATGAAAGAAGCCAAGGGTGCTGGACTGAGTTACATCTGTGATAATCGAAAGGATTGCACAGAATTAAAGAAAACTATGACCCTATAGGGATTAGTGATTAGAAAGGATTATCATCACAGCATTCTGGCAGATCCATAGGTGCTCTGGTCTCCTCCTCAAAAGCTCCACAAGTGTAAAACGACTGATTACACCTCTTCTGTATTGGTTAATGAAACGTCTTGTAACTGTGACATATTATGGCACAACAAGACAATGATGACGATGGTGCAAGATGTTCCCACAAACTGTCTCATGGAATGATTTTTCCCTCTCTGATCATTAAGTTGGCGGCTTCCCTCTTGCATCTCATCTCATCTCATCTCATCTCACAGGTGCTCCCCATGCTGATTCAGGGTGCCATTTTAGAGGAAGATAAGAACAGACCCACTCAAGCCCAGCAAGCATGTCGTAAAAAGGCAACTAATTAAGGATATTTTTCTCAAAGCCAGATAAGCCAGATCTGTAAAACTAAAAATGCAAGACCAAAATCCAGAAGTGTAGGAGCAACCAGAACTTTCCACTGGAGTTTACAGCCTATGAACACTAAGAAAAAAAAAAATCTCACATGTGTTAACCTTACATAGGTAATATCCCCCCCTCCCCCCTCCCCAGTATGACAGCAGCCACTGCTACCATTAAAGCACCGGAACACAAAATGTTTCTTCCCATGAGGCTTAATGGTGAAAGGGAAGGCTGAGAAATGTGAGATATTGATCATGTTAAAATTTGGCTGTAAAGTTGAAAATAATATAGAATAACGTTAATTTGTTGCAGGTCTCCGATTTTTGAGAGCCCTTCGGTTAATGTCCATACCAGATATACTGACCTATTTAAATGTGTTGAGGACCAGCACCGTGATACGCCTGGTACAACTGATTGTCTCCTTCATTTCATTATGGTTTACAGCCGCTGGCTTTTTACACCTGGTATGTTTGTCTTGGCAGTCAATAGTTAGAATATTGGTTGTACAAATATGAAAGAGAGAGAGAGATATTATGTGTATAGATTTACAAAAGAACATGTGCATATATATATATATATATATATATATATATATATATATATATATATATATATAAAATAAATTGACACACATAAACACACATATGTTCCTATAATCAGACATATAATCACACATATAGGATCACACAAATAGACACTGACATGCATCCATGCACAACTGAGCCATCTGAGAGACCATAGCTGATGATGCAGACTGAGAGAGAAAAAAAGGCATAGGATGGTCTAATATGGGAGCATTTAGGAATTAAGGACTATGTTTGCGGAGAGACATTAACACTTACATCGAGGCACATCTTACTTACTTACATGCACATGCATGCACACACACATGTGTACATGTGCACACACACATATATATACACACACCTGTGTATACACACCTATGCACGCACATGTACATACACATATATTTGCACACCTGTGTATATTGTGTGTGTGCACATGTTTGTGTTTCAAGGTCAAACAGAGATGTCATATGTTCAAATGGTAGCTGTGCTGAATAAGAATAAATACTGTTATTAAAATTCCATGTTTTTAATGGCAGTTTCTTCATAGCCCTTGTAACAGACCTAGTTCAGTTTCAGTGCAAGTAATCAGTGTGTGTTTTTGGTAATTGTCTAAAGTTTATCAACTATCTATCTCATCTTTCATATATGATGCTTCTAAACTAAAAGACCACAAATGCAAACATATTTATTTGTGGAATAACAGAAAAAAAAGTAATATATAGTGAAAACCAGGTAAATAATGGAAGAAAAGTTGAAAATGACAAGGAGCCCATGAAATTACTTAAACAGCCTTTACCGAATGTTGCAAAACCAACATCCTTTACCGAATGTTGCAAAACCAACATCCTTTACCGAATGTTGCAAAACCAACATCCTTTACCGAATGTTGCAAAGCCAATATCCTTTACCGAATGTTGCAAAACCAACATCCTTTACCGAATGTTGCAAAACCAACATCACTAGTTGTTGGTTGTTTACTAGGCAGATCATAAGAAGAGCTAAAGTGAAATAAACTTGTTGTGATACAACTTTAACTTTGCGCTTGGCATATGAAAATAAGGATTGACGATAGCTGTGATTTGTTGCCCTTTCCAAATAATAAACATATTTTTGTTTTGGAAATCTTTAACCAGGTCAGTTCTTTTTGCTATGAAGTTTTTTTTAAAATTTGAAACAGAATATGATTGCAACAATGAGACTAGTTATCTCTAAAAGTTCACATGAAGTGGTTATCCAGGATCAATACCTAGTCTGTATCTACATTACGTGCACACACACAAATTTAACAAGGGCTTTCATATCTAGAGTTGGGCAAAAACCACCGGGTCATGTTGTTAATAGATTTTCATGCCCTGGAAAGATGCCAGACACAGAAACTATAAAATATTAATGGTTAAAACCATCATTTCCTCTTCCATTTGGCACACTGATGTGCTCATTTTTTTTTTTTTAAATTACAGAATGAAGGAAAAAGAAGAATGAAATCAGTTATCTGAAGTTTCCAATAAAAAATGTCATGCTTTTAGCATTATGTTTATAATAAATAATAATTAATAATAGTGGGACAAGGATAATTACTAAGACAGTAAAAAAAAGATCGAAAGGACCCTTTTCACATTATGAGGGGAATAAGGTATATGAAGAGAGAAACATACTTTTAGATGATTGACAGTGAACCATAGAGCCACTATTTAAATGTCAGTATAGCAGGAACAAATCCCATATGCATCTTTTAACCATTTACAACAGTTATTTTGGAACACCTATAGTAACTTGCTGTCTTGTGTAGGTAGATACTGACTGTAGGAACAACTGTTGTCCAGAGAATGACTATATAAATAACTATTGTCTGTGTGGTCTGTATCAAAAAACTTTTATTTCCTAGGTCATTCACTGGTACAGTTAGGTAGGTCTGGATGCCCAGGTCAAAGGAAAACACTCCTGTCTTTAAAGGGATTTGGGAATGCAGAGGTGCTGATTCACACATGATGGTGCATTAGGACCGGGGCTCAAATTGGTCAAGACATATCTATACCTCACTGTAGTCATCCTAGAAACAGGTTCCTTTCTGGGCACCTGGCCGAGATAGATGGGATCAACATCTCCATTAAAGCCTGAGATGGGAAAAACCAACTGCCTGCACACAGATAAGCCAGATCTGTAAAATGGATGTGCATGCATCACTGAAATCCTGGAAATAAGACCAAAGTCCAGGAGTAGATGAACAACTAAGACTTTCCCTCAAAGTTAACAGCTGGTGAACTTGAAAAAAAAAAAAGAGGAAGAGGAAGAAAAATAATAATAATAGTTAGAATAAGAAGAAGAAGAAGAAAAAGAAAAAGAAGAAGAAGAAGAAGAAACAGAAAAAGAAGAAGAAGAAGAAGAAGAAAAGGATTTAAAAAATAAAAACCAGACTGGCAGACAAGATCCTAACTTAGGATTCCTGCAATTTTCTAATAGAATCTAGAATGGAAAGCTCAAGTGTTCAAGAAGTCTATCTATCTATCTATGTTCTCTTCATGACCCTGTTGACGTATAAGGCATTCAGATTTTTTTTTTAGATAAGAAACTTTATATTGTATAATTATCACAAACTACCATGCACTGAAACTCTTAAGTAAATTGCTTTGATTACATCTACTGTTTTCTGTGATGCAACATTTTTCTTAGCGATTCCTTGTGTAAGCTGTCAAAAACCTTTTCAAAATCTATAAAGATCATATAAATGGCACTATTCAATTCATTTTCATGGTCTTGGTAGTCTTAAAAAAATATTGCCTCTTTTACCAGCTCCGAAGATGAGCGACGGTTCTATCAAAGCTGCGTGTTGTTGGTTGGAATAAATTTCCAATTTACTTGTAGTTTTTACTTGTGATTTGTGGGGTATCACCACGCCCGAGTTTCTTTGTACATGCCACCGGTGTCTGTGCTGCTTTTTGAGGTTTCTTTGCTGGTCGTCAAGCCGTCACTGAGTGTACCAAGGCAGCTACCAGGCACATCACCACGAGACAGACAAGTCTGCCACTGAGCAGGCATGCCACAAACGAGGCCATTTTCAGGGTCCCATATTTAAATTCTTTTTTCTTTTTTTTTCTTTACTTTTTTCGCATCATACGTGCTTATGTGCATAATATTTTTTTGTTTGTATCTTCTGTTTTTTCTTGCCTTGTGTTTTTTTTTGGTTGTTTTTTTTGGTGGCTTTTTTTTTGGGGGGGGGGGGGGGTCAGTTTTTCTTCCAGTTTTCTTCTGGCCACACATGGTTACGAAGTAGCGGACATACATGTAGATAGTCAATTGAAAATTAAAAGTTGTGAGGGCTTACAGTGAGGTCGGAAGGTGGAGATAGATAGGATAGCTTTGAGAGTTCTGGGTTTGTTGGCCTCTGGAGTGCGCTTCTCACTTCTGGATTGCCATCTTCAGGGGGTCTGATCAGCCGGTTACCGCCTTTGCATTTGCTGTTATGTTAACCTCATCCGGGGGCTTATCTTTTGTTGCTCTATTAACAAACTGTTTAACCAGTTTCTGTAGTTCTGTAGTGGCTGTTTACCTTTAGGCATTCGTCAAGAGATATTGGGTTTCTTCCGCTTGCTGAAATATTTCAACAGCTGCTTTCTCTGGTCGCTATACATTCTGCATTCAAGCAGTTAGTGGGCCATTGAGTTTTGGGATTTGCATTTACCACACGTCGGATTCTTGTACCTTTCAGGCCAGCAACCCAGTCGCATCTTCCAAAGTTTATTGATTGTTCTTTGGTCTGCGACTGGGTCCTGGGCTCCCACAGCATTTGGTAGGGGTGCCTCCCTTTGATGCTTTCCATCCACTACTTATCCCATGCTTTAATGAGGAGTTGTTTAGTGGCCGCATTCCCTTCAGATTTTCCTAGCTCTATGTCGATCTTGATTTTGTTGCTGGTGTCAACTCAGCCTCATAAAAATGGGAACTCAAGAGTATGCTGGGAATTTCTTAGAAAGGAAAGGCAACACGGATTGATCACCACCCTAGCTCACTTTAAATGGCCCTGAAAATGTGTCCTTTTATTTCTTTTTTCTTGTCATTCTCCCTGCCACTGATGTTAAGATGAAAAGGTCATAGACCTCTCTGAAAGCTCTGGTGCAACGCCTGTCTCCAACTGATTCTTACAGCTTGGTTTTCACTGGAATGCCAACTGGCCAAACCTGGGATCTCCGTACCGCACCTAGAAAGCAAATCTGCAGCACATGTTCAGTATCTGCAGCACATGTTCAGTATCTGCAGCACATGTTCAGTATCTGTAGCACATGTTCAGTATCTGCAGCACATGTTCAGTTTGTGCAGCACTCGTTCAGTATCTGCAGCACATGTTCAGTATCTGCAGCACATGTTTAGTATCTGTAGCACATGTTCAGTTTGTGCAGCACATGTTTAGTATCTGTAGCACATGTTCAGTTTGTGCAGCACATGTTCAGTATCTGCAGCACATGTTCAGTTTGTGCAGCACATGTTCAGTATCTGTAGCACATGTTCAGTTTGTGCAGCACATGTTAGGTATCTGTAGCACATGTTCAGTTTGTGCAGCACATGTTCAGTATCTGTAGCACATGTTCAGTATCTGTAGCACATGTTTAGTATCTGTAGCACATGTTTAGTATCTGTAGCACATGTTCAGTATCTGTAGCACATGTTTAGTATCTGTAGCACATGTTCAGTTTGTGCAGCACATGTTCAGTTTGTGCAGCACATGTTCAGTTTGTGCAGCACATGTTTAGTATCTGTAGCACATGTTTAGTATCTGTAGCACATGTTTAGTTTGTGCAGCACATGTTCAGTTTGTGCAGCACATGTTCAGTTTGTGCAGCACATGTTCAGTATCTGTAGCACATGTTCAGTTTGTGCAGCACATGTTCAGTATCTGTAGCACATGTTCAGTTTGTGTAGCACATGTTTAGTATCTGTAGCACATGTTCAGTTTGTGCAGCACATGTTCAGTATCTGTAGCACATGTTCAGTATCTGTAGCACATGTTTAGTATCTGCAGCACATGTTCAGTATCTGCAGCACATGTTCAGTATCTGTAGCACATGTTTAGTATCTGTAGCACATGTTCAGTTTGTGCAGCACATGTTCAGTATCTGTAGCACATGTTCAGTATCTGTAGCACATGTTTAGTATCTGTAGCACATGTTCAGTATCTGTAGCACATGTTTAGTATCTGTAGCACATGTTCAGTTTGTGCAGCACATGTTCAGTTTGTGCAGCACATGTTCAGTTTGTGCAGCACATGTTTAGTATCTGTAGCACATGTTTAGTATCTGTAGCACATGTTTAGTTTGTGCAGCACATGTTCAGTTTGTGCAGCACATGTTCAGTTTGTGCAGCACATGTTCAGTATCTGTAGCACATGTTCAGTTTGTGCAGCACATGTTCAGTATCTGTAGCACATGTTCAGTTTGTGTAGCACATGTTTAGTATCTGTAGCACATGTTCAGTTTGTGCAGCACATGTTCAGTATCTGTAGCACATGTTCAGTATCTGTAGCACATGTTTAGTATCTGCAGCACATGTTCAGTATCTGCAGCACATGTTCAGTATCTGTAGCACATGTTTAGTATCTGCAGCACATTTTCAGTACTTAGTGCTGCCTGTCCATATTTGCTAAATTCTGAATATCTTAAAGCCCAACTTTTTTTTTCAATTACCAGAACAATATCTATTTTGGGACTACCTTACCTTATAAAGAAAATACGATGAAGAAAATACAATCCCATAACTCATTTTCACTTTTCCTTTTCATATTAACTACAGAAAATGAGTTCCCCACAATAACATTTTATCCTCTTCATGTTGCTACAGCTGGAAAACTCAGGCGACCCTTTCTATGGCTTTACAAACAGCCATCACCTGACCTACTGGGAGTGTCTTTATTTTCTCATGGTTACCATGTCGACAGTGGGCTTTGGAGACATCAATGCTACAACTGTGCTGGGCAAAATGTTTGTTGTTATCTTCATTATGATATTCATTGTAAGTTGTTGTGTATGCTTCATTAATTTACTGTTTAAGGATCATTTTATTAAGGCATTGTAGTTAGTTATTTTAATCCAAACAGAGCTGGACTTTTTTCAGACATGACCTTTGTTGCCAGGTCACTCTAGCCTTGAGTGGCTACCAGGGGAATTCCTGAGAAGTAAAGATGGCTGACATGATGCTGACCACATTACCTGCTTAGTACTGATTGGTCTGTAAAATATAGAGCTTAGTGCTGATTGGTCTGTAAAATATAGAGCTTAGTGCTGATTGGTCTGTAAAATATAGACCTAGTCTTAAATTCCAAATAACCTAAATGTGTGGAATGAGTCTTTTACTCATACTTTTGGCGGTTATGTAGATGGGAAACATGTTTAAAAAAAACAGGAGAAAACTAAAAGGACTTTACACTTGAACCCACAGATGTTTAGAAAAAGATGCAGGCCAAAAATACATTGGGAAAGAAGATAAAGAGTGAAGTTATAAAGAAAGGGAGAACAAGGGGTGAGCTGCATGTGATAGCAAAAGATAGAATAACTTGGCGTTAACCATATGGTGTTGGCTGAGGGTCAATTTGTCATTTGAGGATAAAGAGCAGAAGAAGAAGAAGAACTTGTTAGTGGGCTAGCCTGCCAAGACTGGGTATGAGATCAATCCCTGGCAGAGACTGTTAGTTTTTTTCTGAACAGGGCATGTGTTGGGAAATGAAAAGGTAGATAGACTGACTGGTTCTACATCACTTAGTGGTGAACTGATGTATGAAAAGTTAGATGTTGCTGATGATATTTGGGAGTGAGTTAACAGTATGGAGGCACAAACAGATCATCACAGTTTGAAGAGAATAGTGCAGCAGGGGTGACCAAGGGATCTGGCCAACACACAGAGCTCAGGGGTTGGATGAATATATAATCAGACCACTACTTCCTCCCTGTATAGGTTCCAGGGACCCATTTTGGAGGGAAAAGAAGCAGGTTTACTGCCTTTCTCACAAGCCTGTAATAAATGGTGACTAGTTTAAGCGTCTCTTTTAAAGTTGGAGTGCAAACTGCCTGAGAGGTGAGGAACCAGCAGTCTGCATACAAGTAAGCCAGATGTGTAAGATATAGGCACACAAAACCCTAAGTTCTGAAACAAGACTAAAGCCCAGAAGTGGTTGAACAATCAGAACTTTCCACGCCAATGTTTACAGGTAGTGAACACAAAGAAGAAGAAGAATGCTACTGGAGCCATCAGAAATGGACCTATTTACCGGCTGCTGAAGATGGAGACAGAGGGATAAAAGAAATGTCCCAAGTGCTGTGATGATGGTTGTTAACTCATCTCAATTGACCAGAAAGTTTCAACACAGTCTAATAAAGAGAGCCTCTATGGTGTAGTGGTGAGACACTTGGCTGTGGATTCAAAGGTCATGTTTTCGGGTCCTAGCAGTGCCAGACTTTTTTTTTTTTTAAATGACCTTAGCTACAGGTCAACATAACCTGAAATAAGTACAAAGTAAAGTCCTGGGAAGTAAAGGCAGCTGGCATTATAGCATCACCCACCGGGTACCAATTGGTCTATAAAATATACATCTAGCCTTTGATACCCAGTACACATGAATGCATGAAAAAGGGTCTTTTCCATTAAAAAAAATAATGTTTGGTACTGTCAAATAAAATTGCTTAGGGTACACAATTTTTGTAATTTTATGGGAATGTCTCGGAATAAAAGTTGATGTGTGAGAGAGAAAGCTTGCCACCAAATCTTGTTTGTTGTTACCTAGAAAATTTGAAAATCTGACATGTCACACCACAACAGTTTGCTGATAAATCTCTGGGAATGTCAAAGAAATTATGAACAATATTTACATATTATTACTTCTTTTTGTCTATTTCTGTCCACTGTGACCTCCGCAACCCTCTCCCTCCACTTCCTCCCCCACCCAACCAGAATATAGTAAAAGGTGACAAATTAAAAGTTTGCAGAAATCTCATTCATCTCTTTAAAGATGTTCTACACATTTGATTCCATTTACTTCTTTGTAAACATATGCTCTTAATTTAACTTGCAATATTTCAGGGATTTTTTGCTAGTTTTGTGCCTGAAATTGCTGAGTTTTTGGAAAACAGATCAAAGTATGGAGGTACTTACAAAAAGAAAAGAGGCAAAAGGTAAATTCTGAAAACGTTCTAATATCTTTTAAATTTTCCCCGTCAGTTTATCATACAGCTAACTAAAATAAAACGCAAGAGATTTCATTGGTTTGTAGTATTAGTAGTAGTTTTCAATGGCAACAAAACAGATGGAACATTCATGCCGGACTCAGTCAGAGGTAGCAGAAGTCTAGATGATATTCAACTTAATAAAGTATAGGCAAGTTTATAGCCAGATGCTTCTAGCACCATCAGTTTGGCTGCTCATCATTGGCTACTGAGGAAGGGCATGAAGCACACATGGGAAAGTCCTGCATAGAGGGAAGTCAAGTGTTTACCAACTAATTCATTAATTCATTGAAAAGTATTTTCAAGTAATATCTTGATTACAATTGTTTTTTAAATTTCTTTTGTAATTTTCTGTTTGTTGTACGGATAATCTAGTTTTTCCTTCACTTTTTTCTTTCTATGATTAAATAATATTTATTGTCTTTTCAGTTAGTTTTAATGTCATTTTCATTATTACCTTGCACACTTACAGTGTTCTAATGCCAACATTTAGTTATACGTGATAGATAAAAGTACATTGTGGTTGATAGCAAGCATAAAAACAATACCCAAATTCTTGACCCATTGTGTAGGCAGCAGTAAAAAGTAAAAGAAAAACACAGAATACATCATCATCTTGTAGTCTTTGCAGAGCAATGCTCTCTCAACTTCTGTATGGGTTTCAGGCCCCCATTTGGTGTGGGGGAGGAGAGGGGGGGGGGGATAGACCCACTGCATCCTAAAAACATTTTGTAAAGTTGACTTATGAGGGGTATTTTCTTTGAAGTTAGAGTGCATCTGCCTGAGAGGCAAGAACCAACAGTCTGCATACAAATAAGCATGATGTGTAAAGTGGATGCACACACAAAACTCAAGTTCTGGAACAAGACCAAAGTACAGAAGTGGACGAACAACCAGAGCTTAGGTTATAGGTGGTGAGTGCGAAGAAGAAAAGGAAGACCCTCGCCACAGTCTGAAAGCAGGATTATGTATCAGAGACCGTGAGTCACACATTTTGAGGCCTAGGATATCATTTACAAATGCATCCATTCTTGTGTTGGACAGCCTGTACCTTACCTTCCAGGGACCATGCCTTTCCTTATCGTAGTTTCTAAACCATTATTTCACAATTCTCTGCTTACCTGAGTTTGATTCTACAGCACTCTGTGGACTGTTCCATTGGCTTTTGAACAGTGGTGCAAGTCTATAATCAAAATACATTTCCGCACAAGGAAACCCCCACCTACATGCTATTTTTAGCTATACTAAAAAATTGTCAAAAAGCAAAACAAAACTGAAGCAGTGCTATTTACAGGGCACCTCATAAACAAGCCTCCACATATAGCAAGCCAGGAAAGGGACATTTACAGGGATGTGGCCCAGGCAGGAAACACAGGATTTGTGCGTCTCAGGACGAGAAGGGTTAAGCAAACTTACCTACATAATAAGGCCCATAAAGATGGCTAGTATGTTTCTTATATTGTATCTTCTACAGGCATGTGGTTGTTTGTGGACATATCACATTTTACTCTGTGTCCAACTTCTTGAAAGATTTTCTACATGAAGACAGAGAAGATGTTGATGTTGAAATTGTATTTATTCATAAGTAAGTTGGCGTTTAAAAACAATTAAGTGTAATATTTGGGTTTTCTATCATTCATTCAGTAGCATGTCCCTCGCGGAACCTCGCTGCCATAACAACCCTCCGGAAAACCTTCCTATCCTGAGCAAGATGTCCTGCGTCTGATACACCCATCTGGAGATCATCTGCCACATCCTGCACCCATCTTCTCCTTGGCCTTCCTCTTCCTCTCTTCCCAGGCATATACCCCTCCATTATTGTTCTCTCTAGACTTCCATGACGTTTCAAGTGACCAAAATATTTCAATTTTCTTTGTTTTATTGTCTTTACTAGCCATCCCTCTTCAGTATTCAGCTCTTGAAGTATGGATGCATTTGTTCTTTTCTTTACCCAAGATATTCTTAGAACCTGTCTGTAACATTTATATTCAAATGCATTTATGCGCTGTTCCGCTTGTTTAGTAAGTGTCCAGGTCTCACAGGCGTATGTTGCAATGGGAAAGATGCATGCTCTTAAAAATCTGACCTTTGTAATTCTATCTGTACAATTCCATAATTTATTCAGTTGTTTTAGTCTTTGAAGAGCAATTGATAGTCGCCGTTTAATTTCTTTCATTGTGTCACCATTGTTGGTAACCAGTGACCCAAGATATTCGAAATTTTCCACCACTTCCAATCTTTCCTCATTAACATATATTTCCTTCTCCATGGCAGTTTTGTTTGTATGCATTATCTTTGTTTTTGCTATGTTAAGAAATAAGTTATGATTTTCACTATTTCTTTGGGTTTTCTATCAAAAATTGAATATATCTTTTTAATTAGTTAATCAACAGATTATCCTCACTGCACACCAGGCAAGTACATAAGTGCTTGGATCTTATATTTAGTATGTCTCACAGGGTCAGGCGGCTGATAAGACCAGTTCTGTGTTTTTATGTCTGACAACATCTCTTTTGACCTGAATAATTTTTCTTTTTCACTTCATCTTTTAACACTGGGTATACCTAGTTTGAGAATGGAGGTGGAGGCAGTCACTGCTGCCTTCTGCTGGCTTGAGAATCAGCTGTACATTCATGCAGTGATTGTAACTGACTCAAGAACATGTTCGGAAAGGTGGAGACAGGCGTGCTCTCTGCATAGTGGCAAGCATCACTTCAGAGGTCCTGGGTAATTAGCATCCTTGGATACTTTCTCCAGGTTACGCGGGTGTGTTGAGAAATGAGTAGGTAGATAGGCTGGAAGGTTTTGCACCACTTGGTGGTGAACTGATATATGAAAAATTAGATGTTGTAAGGGCCCTTTGGTAGAGAGTGAATAGTGTAGAGACACAAATAGATCATTAAAGTCTGAGGAGAATGGCGCTGTGAGGATTTACCAAGGGATCTGGCCGACGCTCAACCCTCAAGGGAAAGGTGAGATGGACATACAATCAGACAGTTACTGGTGCCATCAGAATTGGGACTCTTGGCTTGCTGCTGAAGATGTGGACAGAGCACTAATGGGAATGACCCGAGTGCTATGATGTCAACACTTAATTCAAATTCAACATTAAACACTTTGGGTATGAAGGGAGATACAAGGCTCTAGTTCTTGATGTTTTTAACACGATAATGTGTCTGTCCCTGTCTCGACTATCAATTTTTGTAAGCTCTAGCTCAAAAATTACTTGCTTTGGCAGCTCCCTTTTATAAAAAAATATCATCATCATCAAGTGCCTTGCCGACTGGCATGGGCGATCATGCCTTTCCACAATCTGCGATCTGGAACTGCATGTATTAGTTCGTGTATTGACACCCCTTCACACCATGATAAAAGCTGTCAAGAATCCTTACATGCTGTCTTCCTCTGTCTCTTTTTCCACAGATCCTTCTAGTGGTCACAAGAGAAATTATAGCATCGCTAATTCATAACATTATGTCTCTGTTATGCCTTAGTGTCCACAGTTTCTCACAATCTCACTGAACCATGTCTGCATTGCTGTATTATTTTAAGCTGGTACAGTAGCCAATCTTTTATAATGTAAATGTTAATTTACATATACAGACAATTTTATCAAATAAAGAAGATGGAGATGGTTTGGAAAGCAGAATGCCTCATGACCCTTTAGTAAGGACAGCTCTCGAAGGGATGACAGATGGAAAAGTAAATTTGAATGCCCTAAGAAAATTTGGAAAAGGATAGTAGACAGAAATGGAGTGTGAAATGACATGAATACCATGCACAGAAAAGCAGAAGACTAACAACAGTGGAGACCACTTTTAAATGCCTTGTGTTTCAACAAAAACATAAAGAGGATACGTATTGCATTGCAGGGAAGATTGGAACACAAAATGATGATGTGTATCAATAGGGAACATATAGTTATAGACTGGAAGAAGAAATGCACTGTAAAGATGCAGAATAAAGGATTTTAAACACTGAGTATAGCCAATCTTTAATTTAAAAAAAAAATTAATAAAGATGATGATAGTTTATATGTTGAATGTTGAATTAAGAATCGACATCACAGCACTCTGGACACCCCCATAAGCACTCCATCCCCCTCTTCAGCAGCAAGCGAAGAGTTAAAATTCCGATAGTACCAATAACTGTCTGATTGTATATCCATCTAGCTTTTTCCCTGAGTATCGAGTGTCGGCCAGATCCTCTTGTAACTCCTCACAGAGCCATTCTCCTCAGACTGTAATGATCTATCTGTTCCTCTGCACTGTTCACTGGCTCTCAAAGGGTCCTCACAGCATCCAGCTTGTCATACATCAGTTCACCACCAAGCGGGGCAGAACCAACCAGCTGATGATAGTTTATTTCATTATATAAATTTTCTTTTCAATATCTTGAAGTGATTCTAACACAAGAAGTCCAACAGATGTTCAGCAACAATCCCTACTAGCCCAGGGCCACAGGTTGCACCAGTGCATTGCTAGAATACAACACAAACTGGGACTGAAAAGCTCAGTGAGAGAGTAGAAAAAGCAGCGCACAAATACAACTGAATGTTTTGAACAAAGTCTTTTTTAAATAGAGTGCTGAATGCAACACAAACTGTGAATAGAGAGTGTAATAGACAAGACCATAGAGCTTCTAAACTATCAGTGTCAACACCTAGAATTGCACCAGTGGGTCGTGAATGTATGCGTGACAAGCTAGATGTGACCAAGGCCCTTTGGGAATATGTGAGCAGTGTGGAGGCAGGAACAGAGCAAAAGCCCCTTAGGAATATGTGAACAGTGTCAAGGCAGGAACAGAGCAAATGTCTCTTGGGAATATGAACAGTGTGATGGCAGGAATAGAGCAAAGGCCCCTTGGGAATATGTGAACATTGTGAAGGCAGGAACAGAGCAAAGGCCCCTTGGGAATATGAACAGTGTGATGGCAGGAATAGAGCAAAGGCCCCTTGGGAATATGTGAACATTGTGAAGGCAGGAACAGAGCAAAGGCCCCTTGGGAATGTGAACAGTGTGATGGCAGGAATAGAGCAAAGGCCCCTTGGGAATATGTGAACATTGTGAAGGCAGGAACAGAGCAAAAGTGTCAGGGACCTAATTTACTCTATTTAATTAATATGGCTCGCTAGGTAGGCCAGCTGACAGACTTAACTACCCAGACATACTTAAGACAACACTCCTGCTGACTACAAACATAATCTTTAATGGACAATGAACAACAAGACGTTAAACACTTCAACTGAGATAAGCAGTTCCCATCCGAAACTGCCTGGCGATGACAGCTTTACACTCACTAATCAACCCAGGCCAGTTCCCATTGATCTATCAGGAACACGATTCTTAGCTGCTAGTTTTTTTGTGCTAATTAATCCGCCGTCTATTGCCAAACGGGACTCAGCGATACACATAAGGTGTATGGCCTAAGCGTGACCGGGCAGTGTTATCGCCATTACAATGCGCGTCACCTTGATTAACTGCTCAAACAAATACTGCATGGAATGTCTACTACACAAAGAACCTTAACTCTATACTATCTAGTCGAAACATTAAATAGAAACACAGCCTATCATCAATACGAAATACAAATACCCTATTACAACTAACCGTCACTAAATCCTAACGTTACCTAGTCAGAATGCGTCCGTCTTGTCTCCTGTCTCAGCATACGACTTCCCTCAAACCAGCTCGGACAAAGCCTTTTGTATTTCCCCCTGAGTTCATGGCTTGACACGCAGCAATCCGTGTCAGCTGAGTGAACTCGACCTGGCCTGTTAACTGGACCCAGTTTATTGCGTGGTCAAGCTGTCCGCTCTCATACTGAGTTGTACTGAAGGTCAGCTCGTACAAACGTGATGATTCACTATCATCTGTTGTGCTTCCCATAGCCGAACTGGCCTCTGACAAAAAGCCTCTTGGGAATATGTTTACAGTGTGGAGGCAGGAATAGAGCAAAGGTCTCTTGAGAATATGTGAACAGTGTGGAGGCAGGAATAGAGCAAAGGTCTCTTGGGAATACTTGAACAGTGTGAAGGCAGGAACAGAGCAAATGCCTCTGGGAATATGTGAATAGTGTGAAGGCAGGAAAGGAGCATTTTGATCTGGAGAGAATAGTACGACTAGGAGGACCAGGGGATCTAGTTGACACTCTTCACTCAGAGGAAAGACAAGACTGCTACAAGCACCATTGGAAATAGAAGAAATGGAACTCTTCTTTGACTGTTGAAGTTGAGGACGGAATGGGAATGTCCCGAGTGCTGTGATGGCAGTTCTAAGCTCAGCACTCAACACTCAACACTCAGCACTCAACACTCAACACTCAGCACTCAACACTCAGCACTCAACACTCAACACTCAGCACTCAACAATCAACACTCAGCACTCAACACTCAGCACTCAACACTCAGCACTCAACACTCAGCACTCAACACTCAACACTCAGCACTCAACACTCAACACTCAGCACTCAACACTCAGCACTCAACACTCAACACTCAGCACTCAACACTCAACACTCAGCACTCAGCACTCAACACTCAACACTCAGCACTCAGCACTCAACACTCAGCACTCAACACTCAACACTCAGCACTCAGCACTCAACACTCAGCACTCAGCACTCAACACTCAGCACTCAGCACTCAACACTCAGCACTCAGCACTTAACACTCAACACTCAGCACTCAGCACTCAACACTCAACACTCAACACTCAACACTCAACACTCATCACTCAGCACTCAGCACTCAACACTCAACACTCAGCACTCAGCACTCAACACTCAGCACTCAGCACTCAATACTCAGCACTCAGCACTCAGCACTCAACACTCAACACTCAGCACTCAGCACTCAACACTCAGCACTCAACACTCAACACTCAACACTCAGCACTCAACACTCAGCACTCAACACTCAACACTCAACACTCAACACTCAACACTCAACACTCAACACTCAGCACTCAACACTCAGCAAGGTAACGGGAAACCAGGAATATATAACAGAGAAAATATTTACGCTAGTGTAGCGCTTGTATGAGGAGTGGCTGGCTGAACGGTTAGAATACTGGGCTGTCAAGCGGGAGACTTGGGTTCCAATCCTTAGTAAAGTTGGGGATTTTTTCTTTTGGGGGCAATATAAATCCTCACCTGTACATTTGTGGTCAGGCTCAAAGACCCCCCCCCCCCCCCTCCCTGCCTACACCACAAAAGTGGTAACATAAAGGCAGTAATTGGCTTGGGTAGCTATTATGGGTGTCTTTAGTATAACTGCTTAAGAGTTTTAACCAGGTATCTGGGATTTGACCTGTTGGATTGACATGCTGAAGGCAACTCTGGGACTTGCAGGGTTGTAGAACACTAATGTGGCAGCCCTGGGGTGAAGTCACAGGAAGTAAGCCAGTCAGCCATGATATTTATTTTTGAACTTGTTCCGTTTTCTGAACAATTATTATTTTATGATTATCTACGAAAACAAAAGTAATAGAAATAATGTTTATCAATTACTAGCTTTTGATCTCTTGCAGAGGTTTACCTGGCCTAGAACTGGAAGGTTTATTTAAGAGGTTAATCACTCAAGTTGAGTTTTTCCAGGGATCAGTAATGGATGCAAATGATTTGGAAAGGGTCAAGGTGAGTTTACACAAGTATTTATAGTGGATATTTGATGAATAATATTCTATAGTAGCAGTATTTTAAAAGTAGTTTTATGTTCAGCCCTCAGGATTATAACTTGGGTGTAAAGTGTTAATTTTTGTTTTTTCTGTATACTTCAGCTATTCTGTATAGCATTATATTATTTTTTTATAATGGTTTCATTGAGTGATTATTTGAAATATCCTAATTCATACTGTCTGGGTTATGGTTAGGACGAAGAGTACATAATTATTTTTATGATATAATTCCATTACATTATTAACATTCTGGATATACTTTTTTTTTAACATAATTAATGTAGTGTTACATGCAAGGGAAGCAAGCGAGAATGCAATCAATATCAAGGCATCTGTCTTTCAAGTCATGTTGGGAAAATGTATTCTACGATAATAGAAACGAGGCTGCAACCACTGATAGATCCACAGTTGAAAGAAGAACAGATGGGTTTCAGAAGAAATAGAAGCTGCAAAGATGCAATCTTCACACTTAAACAGTTAATAGAAAAGAGCATCGAATATGAATAGAACTTATTGGTAGCATTTGCAGACCAGGAGAAAGAAATCAACAGGGTCGATAGACAACAAATTATGGAAAGTAATGGCTCGATATGTAGTAAGTGAACACCTCATTGAAGTTTGGTATTTAAAATATGTTTATAAATAAATTATTTAAATAAAATTAGTGACTTGTGTAAAAATTGTTTATTTTTTAAAGGATTTTTTTTTTTTGGAGAGGGTAGTGGGTGTGTGGGTGGTATTGGGGTGAAGAGGGTTTATGAGCTCTAGGTTTTTTTCCAAAGGGTTTTAAAATCTGATTACTGATTTAAGAATCAACATTATAGAACTACAGGCATGCCCATAAATCCTCCGTCTCCCGCAGCAAATGTCTTAAGGTGTAGATGTAACTGTTCCCGTAGCACACTGATTATACACACATTGTCCCTCTTTGCTGGATCCACACTTAATTCATTATTCACACATTATTGCACATGTTATTTAATCTAATCTCGTGTCTTCTGTCAACAGTCGTTCATATATGGTCTTCAGAATATCTCCCTTGTCAAGTATGAGTGGTCCCTAAGCTTTCGCTTTTGTAGCCAGGAAATTCACTCTTTCATTCCCTCGCACTCCTGCATATCCCAGACAGTATGTCTACATGTGTCCCTGCAATGTTGGCTTACAGATGCATGGTATCCACTCATGCCACAGTCTGTTTTGAACCTTCCGCAATGCCGTCTGAGAATCAGACACAATAATTCCTCTGGTAACTTTGTTTTCTGCTATTCAATTCAGAGCTGCAGTGTTTGCCTCATTTTGTTCTGCCGAAATGTTTCCTTTCATTCTAGCTGAAAACCCCAGCCAGATCTTACACCCTGATGAACAGAACCATTGGTGTACACTACTGCATCATCTAGTCCAGTCTTTTCATCTATCTGTTGTTGTACCTCTAATTCTGCCATACCGTTACACCACTCTCTATATTCTCTTCCTTATGTGATAATGATCTGATGGAAACTGCTGTTGCCGGTGTTCACACCGACCCATTCCTGCTTCCAGTGTATTTGCTTGACCAAAGCTGGCATCTCAGTGATATCTTCAGATAGTGCATCCATGACTTTCCTCTTTTTAACTGGTCTCCTCTTAAATCATTCAGATTACCATGCAGTGGATGCCTTTTATCATTTGTAATTCGCAAATAGGCCTTAGCTAGCGCCAGTGACAGTATGGACTTTACCGATGTCAGCCCAAGCATATACCTCATTGTTCTAATTGGGGTATCTCCTTTGCACCACAAGACGATACTCACTTCTTCATTTTGAATCCTTTCTAGCTTTGTACACTGTTGTAATGGATCGTAGCTTCACTTGGAATGAATCGTGGTCTACTTAGAATGAACCTTTGTTTGGCTTGGAAAGAACCTTGGTTTACACCGACTTTAACGTCTAGGGTTGACAACACAAACGCCGCTCAGCTTCTTGGTACATTCTGTAAGTTTATTCTGGTCCATTTATTTCACATATTCAAACATTATTCGCACTTCTATCACTCGCGACATATTGGAACACTAACCATTTGCGCAACATAAAGACGACATCTTCAATTACTACAACCGTCTTCCCTGACTTCTGATGATCGACTGACCACGAGGCTAGCTCGGGCTTCGCCTCGCTTACTCCACCGGCGACAAGTATCTCGTGCCGTCACTTGTAGCACGGACTTCCTGCTTGCCACAATGTACTCGTGGAGACCATGCAAAGCAGGGTCATCACAACTGTGAAGTAGATAGGGTTAATATTCGTCGGCCATAATCAATTACAGAAAGAACCAAATGGTTGAACAATCCAGACCATTAATCTCTGTTCCATGTGTGACGCCACCACCGTCTTCAGTGTGGCCAGTCCACGCTTGCATTTGATCACGAGGAAAAAAGATAAATTGCTACTCAGAACTGGTACAATGCAATGGAGATAATACAGATATTGAGTCAATGCACCAAACATTATAGAAAAATTTTCCCTATGGTACAAAGAATTGTGAAAATGAAATTAATATAATGAAAACTGTAAATAACATATATAAGAAGAAGGAAAAATATTATAAAGAATAACTGCAGGACATCTGTTATAAATGCTGATTGATGCTCCTCAGATAAAGCAAGCAGATGCCTGCCTTGTGTTAGCAAACAAGTATTGCCAGGATCCAGACCAAGAAGATGCAGCAAACATAATGAGAGTGATCTCCATCAAGAACTTTCATTCTGATATTAAAGTCATTGTGCAGTTGTTACAGTACCATAACAAGGTACGTGTTTGCTATATGTCATTTGAAAAATCTCTTTTTATTTGTCGTATATGGTTAGACCTATATTTTATAGACCAATCAGCATTTGGTGGGTAATGTGGTCAGCATCACGCCAGTTGCCTTTATTTCCCTGAACTTCACATGGTACCCACTCGAGGCTGGCTTGACCTGGGAGCCAAGGATATTTTTAAAAAAAAGTCTGGCTCCGTCAGGACTCGAACCCATGAGCTTCCGATCCTCAGGCAAGCTGCTAGCTGCTACAACACGGGGACTCCCTTCATTGTGGATATATGGCAAAAATTATTTTTTGTTAAAGCCATTTGGCAGGCTGGACATGGATTTAAGTTTCTAAAGCTTGTGGCAAAACTAGCTGCAGTAGGGACTTATAAGATTAAATCTTTATTACTTTAGTAAAATTATAAATCTCAAACTATGAAAAGAAAGCTAAATGATGTTATCCATACACACACAGTTGAATTTTTTTAACAAAGTCTTTATTGATGGACAATATAACAGAATCAGTAAGAACCAGGCAGGTCACGTTTAAAAGCAGATATAAGAACATTAGCTATAAAATAGGGAGAGGAAAATCGAATTTACAATAAAACATAAAAGAATTTAAAAAAAAAAAAGAAGGGAATAATTAATTATAAATAGAAATGTAACAGATGTTTTCATCATAAAAGCATAGATATGTTACCAAGGCACATAATGAATTCCAAGTGTTTGTGTGTGTGTTCATATGCTCTTTTATAAGGTAAACATTTGGATCCATTTAACACTTTCAGGCATACTTGTTGAATATTCCAAGCTGGGACTGGAAGAGGGGAGACGATGCAGTATGTGTGGCAGAACTCAAACTTGGTTTCATTGCTCAAAGCTGTCTGGCTCCAGGTTTTTCAACTCTCATGGCTAATCTCTTCACCATGCGTTCTTATAATCCAGTAAGTTTTGTATAGAAAGTTAGTCGTTAAAGTTAGTTCCATATCCTTTAAAGGAAATTGTAGAACTAACCCAAGCATATTTTTTGGCTGTTTTTAAGGTTTTTTTCTTTCTATGCTAACTGGCACCATTAGTATCGGAACTCTTCACTGGCTGCTGAGGATGTGGACGGAGCCTCGAGGGAATGCCTCGAGTGCTGTGATGTCGGTTCTTGAATCAAATAAAATCAAATCAAGGTTTTTCTAGGCAAATTTGCGTCAAGTAGTTTGCAATTGTTTTTTTGGACAGACAACTCTCGATACGACAGTCGAAACCAATGCAAGGCGCAAGGTCCGCAGCTGGGATCGAATCTGGCACCGCAGCATTACAAAGCCCGCTCGCAATGCTGAAGCCACTGAGGCCAACTAAATTAGTCGTGCAAAAGAAAACAGATAATAATTTAAACAGTTCGTGCGGCAGGATTAAGAAGACTGAAATAAACATCTTCTTCTTATTATCATCCATGTCATGTAGTGTTGGTAGTTTATATTGAAGAAATGTATGCAGTTCTTCAAAAGATGGCAATAATTTATTTCACAGACCCCAGAAATGTCCCAGTGGCAGAAAGATTATATGAGGGGTACTGGAATGGAGATGTATACAGAATATTTGTCCAGTGCTTTCAATGCTCTCACATTTCCGGAGGCAGCAGAGTAAGTTTTCTTCCTTTTGCCTGGTTTACCTGTCATCCCTTGATGAGAGCACCTGCATGCATGTGTGTGAATGCACACATAATGCACACAAGCTTTACACACGCACATACATACAGAGTAAATAACCTTTTCACACCAATTATTCATCCTGTGTATGATGATTGACTCATATTTTTATAGACATGCACTCTTTAATGCACACAAGCTTTACACACGCACATACATACAGAGTAAATAACCTTTTCACACCAATGATTCATCCTGTGTATGATGATTGACTCATATTTTTATAGACCAGTCAGCCCTCTATGGATGTTGTGGTCAACTGGTCACCTTTACTTCCCAGGACATTACTTTGTACCCATTTTAGGTTGGGTTGTGAGTGAGGGATGCCAAGCCTGCACAATGAGCGATCAACACCTGGGTGACACAAAGTGCCACCATTTGGGTGAGAATCCCCCAAGCGCAAGTTCCAGAAATCCCTTTCAGCTGTTAGGTTATGTTAGCGCCCCCAACAAAACCCAGGTAGGGGCTTTAAAATAACAACAACAAAAATTGTTTCCCATATTGGGGCAGAGTTTATTAAGGTTCGGTTGACCTGGAGTTAGCTTTATCTTTGTCGCTGGATATGTGGGTGTTGTGGGCAGTGAAAGAGCTGATAGATTAGCCAACTCTGCCATGGCTGTAGAGGTCAGGCCTATGGATTGCCCTGACATTTGTAATGTCCTTAGAGAGATAGGAAGATCAAAGGAACTGGGAGCAGCACATCTGCATTGCTGCTAAGAATTCAAGATTTGTGAGTAAAGATGAGCGCAGCTAGGTGCGGGAGGTGCACTGGACGTATGAGAAGTCTTGTCAACCTGCACTGGACTGGCAACCATCGGATTCCTTCAAAGTCAGAGTGCATCTGCCTGATGGACAAGGAACCAACAGTCTGCATTCCAGTAATCAAGATCTGGAAAATGGATTAAGAAAAAAGTAAAGATTCCTTTTCACTCCTTTAGGTGCATTAAACTTATGGGAAGAGCACCCATATTTTTACAAACCTATGGGCACTAGGTGGGTAATGGGGTCAGCATTATGCAGGTAATCTGTCACAGACCTCTGGTATGACCTTGCCGGTCCGTGGCTCGTAACTAGGCCTATGACAGACAGACTAACCTTTAACACACACTGAACCCGAACGCACACAGAGCACACACGACAATCTTTATTGGAAGTACAGGTAATACATACAGTTGACTTCCCGCTGTGTGGCCACCTATTGCCTGGACCCTCTGGCTGAACGGGCTTTACAATCACCTCGTCCCCCAGTACGTGCTACTGGCAATATCCTGGTGTACAAACCACAACCAGTCGAGATACGTTCTTTTCTATCACCACACTGACCCAATCAAACTGTCACAGTCTCTGTCTTAGTGCAGGGTCAGAGTGTCAAGGTCAGCCACTCTCTCACAGCACATATACATAAATACTCTACACAAGAACTATCCTATCCTAACACAAAACTGTACATAAACTATCCAGTCACTAACAGAAATATATCCTAACTTTAATACTATAACTGTCTTCCTAAACGTCCTCTCTTCCTGACCGACGCACACCGAATGTCCTGTTCTCTCTCCCCCGTGTCTCTTGACCTCGTTCACCAGCTCAGTCCCAAAAGCAGTCATCGTGTTTGTCCACAACACAGTTCAGTCTTTCTTGCTTTATCCTGAGCGCTGGTTTCACCGTGCACTAACCGAACTCAGTGTCCAACCTCAACACGCACACCTTACGGTGTGGTACACTGACTGTACTTATAGGGTTGTGACACCATCTTTACTTCCCCAGGACATACATCTTGGTACCCATTTTAGGCTAGGTCAACCTGCGGCGCACCATACCATGGTAAAAATCCACGCAACTAGCAGTGGGTTTCAATCGCGGTATGTTAGAATTACGAGTCAGGCTTGCATTGCCTAAGCCGAGGACGCTGCTTGTAAAATGGATGTACACACATAACTCAAGTTCTGGAACAGGACTCTCTTAAATCTGTCTGTGTATTACATGAAGGCCATTGAAAAAAAATTATAGAACTTGAAAGTATTTGAGAGATTCTGTTTATTTTTTAAATTTCAGATTATGTTTTGCAAAGCTGAAACTATTACTGTTAGCTATAGAAGTTCGTCAAGAGGATACAAGGGAGAGTACTCTTGCTATCAATCCTGGTCCAAAAGTAAAAATCGAAAATGCTACACAAGGATTCTTTATAGCAGAGTCTGCAGAGGAAGTCAAAAGGTGAATTATATTGATGTTCATAAGCAATCTTCTTCTTCTTCTTCTTTCATTCCCTTGAAATAAATTATCTATATCTGCAATGTTGTCTCTAGTATGAAATTCACTGTATTTTGTAAATCACTCAGTGACCCGTAAAGTTTGACTTGCACCGATGTTTCTCTTGGCCAAATGTTTTGCCTTGGTATGTTGTATTTGGGACAGTTCATAAGCAATACAATATATCACAGGCTTCTAAAGCTATTGTTCTGAAACAAATTTTGTGTGTGGAAATTATAAAGTAAATTTGACAGTAGATATGTGAATATGATCAGTACTCATTAATTTTTTTAAATAAGCATCATTTTTTTCAGTGCTTCTTTAATAGATGTTTTGAAGTGAGTACTGGCAACTTCATTTTTTTTTTTTAAATTGACCTTCGCTCCCCGGTTGACCCAGCCTTAAGTGGGTATCAGGTAAAGTCCTGGGAAGTCATGCTGGCTGGCATGAGGCTGACGACATCACCCACGTTGAGTGCTGATTGGTCTATAAGATTGTCCAGCTCGAACTTCCCAATATGCCTAAAGTTGTGGACAAATGTCTTTCAACTCACCTTGTGTGGTTGTTGCATCAGAGGACTGAACAGGCAGGGGAATGCCCAATGTGCAATGAAGTTAATGATGATGGCATAATGTAACACACACTCATGCATGCGTGCGCACACACACACATACATACAAGCAGTCACACATGCACACACACGCGCACACATGCATGCATCAAAATGCATGAGTGAGAAAACTGGGCGAGAAAGATGAGAGTCTTTCCAAATATACATGATTTCTCAGAAATTTTAAACTCTTGCTATGTCTCCTGTCTGTTTTTTTTTAAATAAGTTATCTCTGTAATGAATACATTGCCAATGACTCCTTTGTTATCTGTAGGGCATTTTATTACTGCAAACAGTGTCATGGAGATGTGACAGATGTACGACAGATTAAGAAATGCAAGTGCAGACCATGTAAGTATAATGTTTCAAAAACAAAGGTTTTGCAGATACTGGTAATGAAAAGAAAGTAACTGAAATAAGAACACACAAAAAAAGATACGCTTAAAATATTTTGGCCACATTCAAAGACATAACTCTCTTACAAAACCATAAAACCTTGAAGGCATGAGAGCGAGAAGTAAACAGTGTTACAAGTTGGAAAAAATATCAGGAGATGGATGAACAGCAGTCTGAGAGAGTGTACAGTCAAGACAATCGACATAGCATTTGGAGATCAATTGCATCCAACCTTCATTGAACAGATGGCACCTGATTGATTGCTCATCTTCATAATTTCCTTTCATGGGTACTTAAGTATTTGTTTGACTGTTTTCTTATTTTGTTGTTTGTGGAAACTCTGTGACAGTTCTAATTTGATATATTATGACAATTTTAACTAAGTACACTAGGTTTTTAATTTTTTTTTCATTTGAAATAAGAAAAATGTTGATGTCAGCTGTTAACCTCTGCAACAGAGCTATAATACTGGGAGGCAGGGCCATATTTGCATGTACAACATCTGTAGCTGCACACTGTGTCAACATTTTTTATAGCTGCTAAATTCTGAGGGCGGCAAAATATATTTAGCAGATTTTAAAATAAAATTGAAAAGAAGTGTTGGAAGGAGATAAGCCAATACGTTTTAATTTAAGTAATATATCTAGTTAATACACCACTAAGATTAAAAACAAATTTGAGGTACTCATGACTGTGCAGGAGGACATGACACCGGATGAGTTAGCCACTGAAGTAAAAATCATCATCATCACATTAGCTCAAAACATGATCCATAGAAAACTATACAAGAAGCAGATTTACATCACAGAAAAAAAACCATTCTAGCTAATAGAAGAAGGAATGTGTTGAATGTTGAATTAAGAATCAACATCATAGCACTCGGGACAGTCCCATAAGTGCTCAGTCTCCATCTTCAGTCGCAAGAGAAGAGTTCCAATTCCAATGGTACCAGTAACAATCTGATTGTATATCCCTTTATCCTTCCCCTGAGTGTTGAGCATCATCCAGATTCCCTGGAAACTCCTTGCAGTGCCATTCTCCTTAGACCATAATGATCGATCTGTGCCTCCACACAGTTCGCTCGCTCCCAAAGTGCCGTCGCAATATCTAACTTGTATTCTAGCTAATAGAAGAAGGAAGAAGAAAACAAACAGGTACAGAAGCGAATAGCCCTGCATATAAGAACTACGCAAGAGAAATCAGAACATCAGAAAAGACCAGAAACCGTTTATAATGAACACCACATAATTATATAGAAAAACCCCCGATGCAAGGAAAGGACAGAGACATGTTTAAAGAAATTAAAACCTTAAAAGGCAAATGCAGATCATCATTTCATGTAATAGATAATAAAAAGGTAACAGAAACCAAAGACATATTAGAAAGACAGAAAGAATACTATAGAGAAATAAATGAAGATCTGACAAGTAATTCAACAACTTATGAAAGTGAAAGTGATGATAAAGAACCAGAGCCATTACCGGATGGGGTATCGTCAGCAATACACAGTCTGAAGAAAGGAAAATCACCAGGTTGTGACAAAATACTTTACTTACTTAGTCGCTTCTCTTCTTCCTTGGGGTGTAGATATTTGCCAGATGGCTAGACTTCTTTGTCAGCAATTTTCTTTTTAGCTTTGCTCCATTTGAGGCCTCAGTCAGTCAGGGACTGTCGGATGTTGTCTTCTTAGCAAACCCTGGGCCTCCTGGTTGTCTGGTTAACTGGTTCTTTGCCTCCTATGCCTGCCATGGTAGACGATTGAACTCTCCCATTCTGCATACATGTCCTAACTGTGACTTGATCCACTCAAGTTTGTAGGGCCTGTGTTTCAAAGTCATGGCATATTGTCTGAATGTGAACTTTGTACCTTCTTGTCAGTTGGACCACCTTTCTCAGATGACTCCTTTCTTAGGCTTGAAGCTGGCTTCTGTGAGCTGTTGTCATTGCCCATGACTCACATCCCTAGGTCACGATTGGCACATAAAGTGATATACAGTAATTTTTGTCCTCTTGCTAATTTCTCTTCCACTGAGAAACCCTCAGGACGAAATACTTGCAGAACTAATTCCGCCTGGAGGAGAAGCCAGCATCTGAATATACCATACAGTGTGCACAAAGATCTGGAACAATGCTATTTGGCCTAAAGCACGGAACAAAATCTCACTAAAGACAGAATAAAATTATATTATTGAAAAATCTATGACATATCTGAGACATGATGTATATGATTTGATTCAGAGGGTATTTCACTTAATTTTTAACTTATAAATAATTCTTAACTTGCATAGCTAACTTCTGTTTACTGTTTCTTAAGTGGCAATGTTCAGGAAGGGAGCAGCTGCAGTATTAGGTAAGCTTGAATGTTTCCTCTTGTGTGCATTTTTTAAAATTACTTATTAACACCATTTTCATAGATTTAGTAACCTTTAAAGTAGAATTCTTTATATTGTTCCACATTTATTACAATGTAAAATTAGAAAACACTTTTTATTTCATTGTAAAATATAGTATTTACACTTTTTTTTCACCATACACTAGCTTTTTTTTGGTAACAATGTTGTACTCACATTTGTTATATTTTTTTTAGAATAGGATGATTTCCTTAAGATTCATATTTACAACATCATCATCTTTACATCTCATCTAAAGGTAAATTCTAGCATAGTCTTACCTCGCAAATACAAATAGCTCATTTACTGAAGGTTATGCTAAAATATAGCACTACAGTTGCTTGTGTTTGTAAATATTTCTTCTTCTACATCCACTGGCTGTAAACTTTGGTGGAAAGTTCTGGGTGATCGTCCGCCTCTGGACTTAGTCTTGTTCCACAACCTGGGTGTTGTGCACACATCCATTTTACAGATCTATTTATTTGCAGGTTGTTGGTTCCTTGCCTCTCAGGCAGATGCACTCTCACTTTGAAGGAAGCTCCCAGCTAGTCAGCTCCTACGACATGCCTGTTGGGGAGGCAGTGGGTCTATTCTTGTTTTCTCCACATTGTAGCCCGGAACCCACATGGGAATGTTTGTAAAGATGCATATATTTTACTAGAGAATTTAAAAAAATAGAATTTACATACTTTAAACACTTCCAAGAAATACCAGTTTCTAATACACATTATTATAAATACTCAAGTCATCACTGAATTACTCACCAGTAAAAAGATCCCTCTTCACACCTTTTAAGCGCATCGGGCATATGGGAAATGCACCCATATTTTTACAGACCAATCGGCAGTAGGTGGGTAATGTGGTCAGCATTATGACGGCCATCTTTACTTTCCCAGGACATACATCCTGGTAGGCTAGGTCGATTTGCGACACCCCATACCATGATTAAAAATCCACTAAACCAGCAGTAGGTTTCAATTGCAGTATGCTGGAATTATGAGTTGGACACCACTACTCACTTCAGTGGCAGTTACATTATTCTCATACCATCACTTTGATTGATGAAATTTCTGATGTGTTAAACACATAAGAGGATGGCATTCTGTAGAATGATCTGTTGAACAAATAATTGAACAGTATTGATGATGACAGTGAGAATGGTAACATCTGTCACATTTATAAGTTGGAACAAAGAACACACATACAATAGATTGGACAATTTATTGCCTGGAATATCTCACTGTATCTCGTGGGGTGCATACTACAGTAAAATTATATAAATGTGCAAATATTTGAAGCAAATAAGTGATATTTACTGAGAATCGGACTCAATCAAAAGTGTCAGTTTTTTTTTTTACTTCAAAGGGCAAAAGGGTTGATAAAATGTTATAACTGTTCATGCAAATGTCTAGAACATTTGTTTGAAACTGAAATTTATATTTACAGAATTATAACTCAACTGTTTTTAACTGTTTAATGTCCCCCCCCCCCCCCCCCCCCCAAAAAAAAAAAGCCAGCTCATTTTATGAAAATAAAGTGTATAATATTGAACCAAAGATTTGAGTAAAAATAAAAAGGTGCATTGTGCTTCACATTTTATGGTATTATGGTTCAACACTACTCTAATAGACACTTTGTTGTGAGTACCGGACCTGTTATTAGACACTTTGTGGTATCAACACCTTTTTTTGTTTTTGTTGTTGTTTTTTTCTTTTTATTAGGAAAAAATGTCCTGGGCAATAGAGACAATAAAACCTCCCTGTCATTAGACAGTGATGAATATGCCTGATCCAAATATCATTCAACAGAAGAAAGTACTAAGCTAGGCTTTTATTTTAATGCCTTTATTCTTCTGCATCTTCTGTCTTTTGTCGACTATTGTAGCATTGGTCTTCAGTAAGCTCATTCCAAATCATCCTTTTGTCATCTCTACCAGTTCCCTCCACATTATTCATTTTTGTATCTATCCTGTTCTTTATGTTCACTAATTTGGCTTTGTGGTTTCAGTGCAAAGACATTCTTATTATACTGTTATCAAGTTTTGTCAGTGTTCACCCTATCCAGTATCTGTATCTTTTATATGAATTCTCTGAAATTTGTTTAGTTACCTTCCTTGGCTCCTCATTGATGATTCTCTCATATCATTATATTCCCTATTTTCTGCTCAGATATCGGTTAATGTGTGTTTGTAATTAGTAGTATTTGCTTCACATGTGCTTTACGTTTCTGCAACATACAGCAGTATGATTTGATGCTAGAGGGAAATATTCTGTTTGTAACAGTGATTACATTTTTTTTTAAATGTGCACAATCCAAGTTATTAGTTTTTTCTTTTATGCACAAACTGTATACTTCTTAAATTTAAATTCTTCAGTCAAAAATTCTTTTATAATCTTATTGTATTTTCCACAAGTTTTATCACAGTGTTATTTAACACATCACTTTTTCAGTTTTTTTTTTCTGTTTTCTATTTGGTTGAAGCTCTACAGAAAACTCCTGGTCTGTCTCTGGAAGTAGAGAAAGATGCGCAAGGTAACACTGATAAAACATGCATAATTGAATTTGATGTAGATGGTTTAAATATTAGAGTTAGCTGTCTTGAAATACAGAGCATAACATATGAAGGATGTTGCATGTCAAATGAATATCATATAAATGTTTCATATGGTAACAACTGTAACATAACTATCCCTTATCAGTTAAGTATAATTGCTGATGTCTGCTGGGAATGTTTGATTACAGTTACTGAGGGGAGTCTTGCTCTTTAACCAATTATACGTTAGTATGTCGCAGTTCCAACTTCATGGCACATAGGTCACCTCATAATTGCTCCATATCTTTGCAACAACAACAACAAAAACAGTCCATCTCTGTCACTTGCGAAAAGATTAAAACAGACTGCAATCACAGCAAAGCCTCCCTGTGGGGTTCCTTTGCCCAGTGTGTGAGAAAAACAAAAATAGAGGAAAATAAGCATGTTGCAAGAGTCGACTAACTGGAGGCTTCCTCCCTTGAAGTCAGAGTGCATTTGCCTGAGATGCAAGGAACCAACGGTTTACATATTGATAAGTCGGCTATGTAAAATCAATGTGCATGCAACATTCAGATTCTGGAACAAGACTTAAGTCCAGAGGTGGACGAACCACAAGAACTTTCTGACGGAGTTTACAGCCGAAGAAAAAGACAGCAAAGCCAATAGCATATACACGTACTAAATGCATAAAGCAGCCATTAAAAATCCACAAAATTAAGCGATCTGAACCATTTGATGGTAAAATGAGGCATGACAAGATAGATGTGGTCAAGGCCCTTTGAGAGTACGTAACAATGGAAAATAAAGAATATATCATCATGACTGGAGAGAACAGTGCAGTGGAAATTGATCAAACGGCTGACTGACACTCAGTCAAAGAGGTTGAAGCCAGACAAAAGTGTTGTGCTGGAAGCCAAAGAAGAATAGTAAACCAACCCAGAACTGTCATGATCAGTTGCCTGCTACATGCTGAGGGATATACTGAAGAGGGGATCCAAGTACTTATATATGTACTGAATGTTTCATATGTGAAAAGGACTAGCTGTTGACTGATTAATATAATAATGAAGACATTATGGCAACCATATGAGCTGGAACTTGGGTTCTCAGGCACCATGAATTATTCCCCCCCCCCCCTCCCCACTGCTTCAGACCCCTTGAGCCGGCACCAGCAAATTATAAGAGGCTTAGCCCTCCTAAAGATTTCTTGGTGATGGTACGCCCGATGGCACGCCTGATGGCACGCATGATGGCACGCCTGATGGCACGCCTGATGGCATCTTACTTAAGATTTAACACATTCTCTCGACACTGGAAGGTAGGTGTCAGTTTAGTAAGGGCACATAAGAGCAGTTCTGACATTGTAATATACATGCAATTCTAACATGCACATGAAATTGAATCTTGTTACAGACATGTAAATGAATACTGTCATGGTAATGTAAATGCAGTCTTGGCATGAAAAAGTACATTCATTCCTACTGTGACATGATATCAGCCTAGTCAATTTCATTCTTCTATTTTCTTCTTGTCTCTGCTCCTGGAATGCCTCACAGTGTCAGGACAGGAAGAGATCTATGGAACAGGCCCTTTTGTTTGCCTTGTATATAGTACTTTTCAGTGTCTCTGATATTTCCATAGTTCATCTTCTGCATGGTCAACCTCTGGCTCTGTTACCATTTATCTGCATAACATTTTTCTCTGTAGTGCTTTCTCTGTTGTCTAAATTATTACATGGCCAAACCATTTGATCTGTTTTCTGCTGATAAAGTTCAGTACTGTTCTGTATCAACTCTCCTCCAGATATCATCATTTCTAAGTCTATCTTTTCTTGTTACACTTTCATTACCCCATGTACATTTTTTAGTGTAAATTTAAAAAAGGATAATAAACTGCATATAATCTTGCATAAAAACTTAATACATTATCCTACAATGATTATTTTTGATTGAGATGATTGTTTTACAGAAAAGACAAGTAGACCAGCTGACGTAGTGGAACATGCTGAAGCCAATTCACAGTCCAACTCACTGAAATCCTTAAATCCTTTTACGTAAGTTTGGTTTATTATTTTTTTAAAATTTGGTCATATATGATTAATGCATGAAGAAAATATTTTTATTTTCACTGAAAGAGGTTGAATACTCACAGATTACAGGTTAAGCTTTTCACCATGAGAAACTACAAAACCGATACTTCTACTTGGTACCATTTCTCCACCATAAGAGCCAATTTCCCAGCTCGCTGTAGGTACATTTTAGGAGAGGGGAATATAAAGATATATTTGAGTGATGGCGAATAACTAAATTTACTTTAACAAATACCATTTAGTGGGGTTTCCTTTTTAAACTCTTGCTTTATTTATAGAAATTCCTAGGTCAAATTGTGCCTGTTGGCCACCTTCCACATATTTCAGGGATTCTATTGTATGAGCCACTATGTAATATACACTATCATCTGCAATATGTGGTATAAAGTACATCTGTAAAACAGGAATGCAACTTGCTGACAAGTTCAGGTACATCTTTCTGATGTGCAAAATGGTGCTCTGAAATCAGCACTGTTGCTTTTCAGTTCTCAAAGTCACCCTGCTGCCTTCAGCATCGAGGTTATGGTCAGGTCCAGCTACTCTAGTGACAGAGTCAGCCTGTCTCTTAAGAACGATCTTATCTATCAAATGGGTTCCCTTTTGCTTTAGAGCCCTAATGTCCAAGAAAGCTTAATCTAATATTTTAAAAATTAGACTCCTACCTGCAAAACCTCTTTCTGGCTAGGATCTAGGATCTATTTCCGGTATCACACTTGTTACTGAGCTTCTATGAGCCAGACATATCAATATTTTTTTGGGAGAGTCCTCAGTTAAATGGTTTTGTGTATTCTTGTTTGTAATGGTCTATTAAAATAGTATGCTGATGAAGTCTTTGTAGCGGCAGTGTTCACCTTTTGTTGGTGATTGTGATAATATGAAGCTGATAATTCTATGTCTAGTTTGGTTTCATATCACTTTATGGTAAATTTTCATCAATGTAGAATAGACATTTCAGATTAATATTATTTGTAGGCATGGGAAGTACAGTGGGAGATAATCATTAACAGTTTTCTTATTCACATTTTAATGTGAATCTGAGGAAGTTAAATGTTATTTCTACTCCATTTATTCCAGTTAGAGTACAAAAGTGTTTAAAAGGATATTATAAATGTAAATACTACTACTGCTGCTTTTACTGTTGCTGCTGTTACTGCTGCAGCATCAACAACAACAAAACCATACTACTTCCTTAACATTTAGTTGCATATGTTCTTTTAAATAATGGAAGATTATGTGGTAGCAGCAGGTTCATATGCGTACTTATGATAATCTTTTCAGGGATACAGTTGAATAAAAGTGATTTGATAATTTTAATTCAGCTTATTTTGCAAATACATTTTTAAAATTGATTTCCTTTCTTGAATGCATTTATTAGCAACAGCTTCACTCACCTTCCCTTTTTTCAAAGAAAAAGAATAAGTAAAGAGACAAATTTAAATACATATTTAAAATAATTTAAGTTAAGAGACAAATTTAAATACATATTAAAAATATTTTATGTAAATAGACAACTTTAAATACATATTTATAATAATTGTTTAAGTATAGTTTTCTACCTAATTATTAGCCTAGTTTAAGTCAATTTTATTTCTAAATCACTTATTTAAATTTATTTATAGAACACACTTAGCAGTTATAGCCACGTTTTCTACCATTTTTTCAAATTAAAGATTATGTTAATAAAATCAGTTCTGGTACATATTTACACAATTTATTTTTTAGATACACAGTTATTAGCATTGTTTATTTCAGCTGTATTTTTAGATCACACTTTTTAACTTCATTTTTTTTTTAAATATCACCAGCAAGAACATTCTCATCCAATTATTTGAACACTTTGAATTAAAATTTGAATCCTAACAGTTTACAATCTTGAATGTATTATTTATGGCTTTAGAGTTCCTTTTGTAAACTGAAGTGTTAGTGTGGCAGTTCCATTTGTTTGAAACTGTTAAGTATCTCTAAGACTATGTTATGTACAACAATGCTGCAAGTCATTTAACATCACTATGGAGCAAGTAACTTTGAGGAGGAGATCGGAGCACCTATGGATCAGTTCAGGGTGCTGTGATGATGGTACTTACTAATCATTTTGCACTGCTTTATCAAGCCTATGGCTAAATGTATTCAGTTTCAACAGGGATTTTATTTAAATTTGCTTCCCCTAGCCTTTGATTGTCCCTAGTCTACCTATTTGGCTTCAGGTTTGTGTCTCTCTTTGTCTAATTCCTTTCCCTTGACCTGGGAGTAGCTAAGTTACTGACTGTAGTTTAGTTACTACTCTCACCTGCAAATCTGAAGGTTGTTTGTCTAGGTCCTGGTTGAACCAGACTTTTTTTCAAAAATGTCTTTGCTCTTAGATGGATCCAGCCTTAAATGGGTACCAGATAAAGTCCTGGGAAGTAAAGGTGAATGGTGTGATGTTGACCACATCACCCACCAAGTCCCGATTGGTCTGTAAAATATAGATTTAGCCCGTTGTGCCCTATATGCCTGTAGGTATGGAAAAGGGTCGTTTTACTTTATTTTAGTTAGGTTACTTTCAGTAGTTAAGTTACTGTCAGTAATTAAGTTACTTTGAGCAGAGCTCTTTAGTTTGTTGGGCTAATGAATGGAGGACTTTCAGGATGAAAACATATCATAAAGGAGTTATGTATATATTATTGATAGTATTCCTAATAAGGCGCTGTAAGATTCTCCATTTTTTGCATCCCAACCAAACTTGTGGAGTCACACAGGGTCATTGTCATGTAGTGACTCACAGCATGATGTACAGTAGTAGGCTGAACTAATTATCCTTTCATATTTAAGAGTACTATGTAGTCAGGACAATTACTTTTACTTTAGCCACTATGTATGAGTAGGAGCAAAAGTAGAAGATTTGTTTCATGCGAATATTTTAGCCACAACTTAAACAGAAAAATGCCAGCAATTTAACACTTAAAAAAATTCTTATAGCCACTTGTTAAATTAGTAACAAGAAATAAGTTAATGATCAGTTCATGTAGGTGTGGACATTCAGACACCCAAAAAATCTGAAATATTTTTGTTGCTGAGTATTTTATTTAGGTAGTAATTTTGAAAGTGAAGGAAACACAAAGAAAGAAATTATGACACACAGGGGCATGGCATCAGCAGCTTTTAAAAACCTGAAAACAAAAACTGTGGAACTCTAAATTGTATAGTTTTTAAAACCAAGCTACATATTTTCAGTTCTGATATTATTTCAGTTTTAACATAAGCCAGTGAAAGTTGGAGAGCCACTAGAGACATGGAATAAAAGTTAAATACATTCAAAATACCTGAGAAAAAAATTGAACATATAATGGAATGTATTTAAGAGGAGTGAACAAAGAAGAGAAATGTCTGGCAACCACTAGTATAAAGACTAAAGAGGGTGCTATATTATGCACATCATCATCATCATCAGTTCTCGTTATGCCTAGTGGCACATGAGGCTTCAGAGAGGACTTTCCATGTTTTCCTGTCCTGTGCAATTTTCAATGCAGTTTTCCATGTCAAAGATGCCGCACTAAGGTCACTTTCCATCGTTCGTCTCCATGTTGTTTTTGGGCGCCCCTGTTTTCTCTTTCCCTCTGGTGTCCATGTGAGAGCTGTTTTGGCAGGTATATCAGAAGTCATTCTCATAACATGGCCAAGCCATTTCCATCTTATCTTGGTAATCATACTGTCTAAAGTTTCTTGGTTTGTGGTTTGAAGTAGTTTAGTGTTTGAGATTGTATCTGGCCAGAAAATTTTGATAATTCTACGTAGACATGTGTGGTGGAAGGTGGACAGCTTGTGTGCATCCTTTTTGGTCATTCTCCAGCATTCCGCTCCATAGAGAAGAACTGGCAAAATGATGCTCTTGTAGAGTCGGAGTTTCATTCCTCTGCAGTAACTGTTGGATTTCCAGATTTGCCTCATCCTTCCAAAAGCATATTATGCACATACTTAGAAGAAAATGAGCAGAGGATCACCAAAAAAGGCACTAAATAGGAAACAAAGGGAATGAGGAGTCTAGAACACCCAAAAGAAACCCTAACATGTACGTTGATGAGAGAGGCCAAAGGTTCCGAACTAGATTCCATCCATGATATTGAATTTACTGCACAGGAAATACCAGAATGGAGGAAGAGACTGTGAGCCCTATGTGAAATGCACAAAAAGACAATGATGATGATAATGATGATGCTGGTGATGATAATGGTGATGATGAGTATTTTGAATGCTGCATTTAGTCCCTTCTCAATAGATACTATTACGACCTGCACAAATACTAAAATAGTGTAAATTAACTTTTTTTTTTAATACACCAAAACACAAATCACTTACTGTAAGTTATGACTAACTCAGACCTTGTATGCACCTATTGTGTAATGGCTGTTAAATCTTTCATATTGGTTCTCTGTACTCTGGCAGTTTCTGTAATAGTTTAGATGAAGGATGTACTTAGCTATTAGCTAGACATCAAAACTGAACTGTAATATCTTTAGTTGACATTCAAAGTCAATGTTTGTAAGGGTACAGTAGATTGAATGCTAAGCATTTCCTCAGAACTAATTGTTGTTGTAGATGTGCAGTGCAGATGATGCCATTGTACGTACAATAGTTAGAACTACCTGCTTCATATAAAAACTGCTTTCATAACTGACTTCAACCCTACAATATGTAATACAACAAAGGAAGCCATAAATCAAAAATAAAGAAGGTGATTATGAAAAGCATTAATGGGATTTGCTCAGAATGCCTCGTGCAGTAAGGTATGTAGTGTTCAATATCTTTTGCCAAAATATTAAGAAGTGATGGACAGTAATCATGTGTTTAAATGAACTGCAGCATGAGAAAATCAGAACAGTCTTACTGCAACGTCACCTTAAGAAACAGCAAGGCAGAAATAAAAAGAGTGAATGTACATATTTATGGCTAATCGGAAGTCAGATAGATTTTCATAAGTTAGTATA